TCTCACATGAGACAACCCATTATCAGGCTCAACTGCAGTGGCTCTCTGCTTTGCATGCGTAAAAGTATGTGTTCTCTGGGGAGCGAGTTACTGTTCAGTGATGAGAAATAAAAGTGGCTGGGAGAGAAGAGGTATTAGGTAGATGGTGGATATTGGTGGTGGGAATAGATGGGTTGTACTCAAGAATTCTCTTGCCTTTTGGGGAGATACAGTTTGTTATGAATCCATTCTTTTGTGCATTCATTCATTCAGCCAGCATTTACTGATTTCATGCTTGACAGGGCGAATGTTGGTGGTGTTGCCATACTGAGTGGGCCCTGGGGGGACAGAGTGAGTCAAACTTGCCCTTTTCTGGATGTGGCATGTGAGCAGCTCAGAGCATGAGAATTAATATAACAGAGTTATGTACAAAGTGCTTTGGAGCATCCAACAGTAAATAATTAACTCTGCCTGGAGAAAGGAGAGGCAATTTGGGTAGGAGGGAAAGGTCTTCGTGGTTTTATCTGCCTGTGGTTAACAAAGTGTGTTCTGCAGACCATTGGGGGCCACCAAAATCTTTTTTGGGATCCGGAAGGTCAAAGCCATTTTAATAGTGTTCAGATGTGATTTGCTTTTTTTTTGCACTGATGGTGCAAAAGCAATTAGGTGAAACAGCTGACACCTTAAAAGGACTCAAAGCAGTGGCATAAAACTGTACTAATAATTGTTGTATTTCTTACCTCCAAGGACTCTCAGTTTTTAAAAAGTTTTTAAATAAAGAACTAAAAATTTATTAATTTGATTAAATTATGTCCTATAAATACATGTTTCTTTAGTATTCTGTGTGATGAAACAAGAAGTTATGCATAAAGCACTTCTGCTGCTGAACAAGTTTGATGTGTATCTCAAGGAAAAACACTTGCGTGATTGAATTATAGGCTAAAGTACCTCCTTTTTTTCTGGTAACACTATTTTTACTTAAAGTACAACCAACAGACAAACTGTGGTTACTCAGACTTATGTATTTGGCAGACATTTTCTTGAAAATGAATCAAGCGAGTCTGCTACTTTAAGGAAAAGAACTGGTAGTATTTGTTGCTGATGATAAAATTTCTGCTTTTAATTGAAAATTAGAATTTTGGAAAATGTGTATCTGCCACTGGGAGCTTGACAGCTTCCCCAGATTTAAATCTTTTCTGAGGAAATCAGTGGTGATATTAATAATTACAATTATTTTGGTGTTGTTTAAATGAAATGTGTCAAATTTGGAAGCTCTGCCTAACTCATTAAATCAGAAGTTTCAAAATGACTAGTGCATGATGTTACAAAATCATGCATAGATACCTTTCAAAGTGCAAGATAGACCAGCGGATTTTAATGTAATAAGAGTACAGAAAGTTCATCCATATAGTTTCAGATTTCACACTGTAGCAAACCTTTAATAAACCTAGTACTTGTTGAGTTTTGGTGTGGTATCAGAGAAAAATGTCCACAGTTATCTGAAAGGTTATTAAAATACTCTTGCCTTTTCCAACTGCATTTCTATATTTTGATCTTCAATCAAAACAACACATTGAATGTGGAAACAGATATAAGACTACAGCTGTCTTCTATTAAGCCAGACATAAAAGATTTGAAAAAATATAAAATAATCTCACCCTTCTCATGATTTTTTTCTAGAAAACAATTATTTTCATAAAACACATTCTTTATATTAACCCATAGGAAATGTATTGTTTTAAGATTAATTTCTAAATATTAGAATTTGTGTTTCAATTTCTGATGTGGTAAATCTCAAACTGTTTTGAGATTTAAAATTTTTAAGTGTATAAAGGGGTCCTGAGGCCAAAAAATTATAAAACCTGGCCCTATGTTATTCTCTCTACTTAAAATTATTCTCTTTTCTGCCTAGAGAATCCCACACATAATTGTTGGTATTTAGTTATTTATTCATAAAACATTTACTGACCGTCTATCAAGAACTGGCTTTTGCTTGCTTTTGGGGACCGGGTCCCAAGCCCTTAAGGAACTCATAGTCTTATGGGGAAGACAAATTAAACAGGCAACTGCAACACAGTATGATAAATGTTACCAATGATAGACTCATACTTAAATGTAGTGGGAGTCAGATTCACTTGCCAGTGTACCTGGAACATATGACCGATCAATCTGATTGGACTGCAGCTTCTATATTTGATTCTTCATGGTCTACAGGGAAAGGGGCTCAAGTTAGAAAATGAGAACTGTTCACTTGCTGCTCTAGGAGGAAAGAAGGAAACTACAAATATATTGAATGTTGGCTTTATGCAGGTCCTCTGCTAGGTGTTTTAACAAATGTCTTATTTCACAAAAAAACCCATGCAGCAGAGATAATTATCCTCATTTTGCAAATGAGATATTGGAGGCTGAGATAAGTTAAACCACTTGTCCAATATCATATGGTTGTAACTGATGAAGCTAAGGTTTTGACATATGTGTTCTGACTCCAAGTCCAGGGCTCTTTCCTTGTGATAGTAATGTATTTGCTAAATGGGTGGATCTAAGGTATTTCCAGATGGCTCTGGGAAACTTTGCCAGATTAGAATGTATAAAAGAAGGTAAAAAAGTCTCATGAGTGGGAAGGAGGGAGAGGGGGAGGGTAGAGGCAGGAGAAGAGAGAGAGCGAGATAGTAAACAATTTAGGATTTATGAGCCATATAGTCTCTGCTTTTGGAGACAGGGTCCCAAGCCCTTAAGCAGGGTCCCAAGCGCTTAAAGAAGTTTATTTGTGAATTTTGGCTGACATGTTTTTTTCTGGACAGGATTCTATAGCCATATGGGACATTAAGATTTTATACTCTCTTATCCTCAATCCCTTTAATCCTTCTCTATGCCAGATGATGCCAGCAGCAAAGGTCACCTGTCTGTTTGGTCAGGTTACAAATCAGAGCCTGATGTCTGAAGGCTAAACTTCTTGGACCTACTGTAGGCTTTTGGGAAAAGGGCTGGCTGACCTCAGGCCAATGATGCCTAGATAAGATCTGATTCATCTCTTTATGCCCTGTGATCATTACAGAGCCTGACATATGAAGAACAGTCAGTAAGCGATGTTCAAATGGGCACATCATATGCTGATCAAAAAACTTTTATTGGTAATTATATGTGCCTTTGCTTAATACAAAAACAGGAATAAGGGAGGGAAGGTGTTATGTTGGTTGTGTTAATACCAATGTTGTGTGCTTCATCTATGAACTAGTTATTACTTATTGCTTTATTGCAATTTGTTTTTTTTTTTTGTTTTTGGATCGGTAGTTCATGGATAAGAGTCCACGAAGGAACCAATCATGCCAAGAGCTCTTCTTGGTGAGGAAGTTAAGAAACAATGCCCTAATCTTTGGCTACATTCTGTTCTTTCCCTCAGTACTCACCACACCTCTACCCCACCCTCTACTTCCCACTCTGACTTGGCAGGACAGATGTAGAGGAACATAAGGTTATGTGTAGATATTTCTTTTGTATACAAATTATTCATCTTAATTCTTTTATAAAGTCATTTCCTCAGTGCGCTTCTTACCAGTATTACCATTTGCGGCTTCTAGAATATGAAACCAACCTAAAGATATCTGGTCACCTTGGCATAAAGGCATTCAGGTGAGGTGCTGGCCAGGGAGTCAGCCAACCTGGGCTCTCATTGTAGCTCTTCAGCTGCCTTTGACTTTGGGTACATCAGTTAACATCTGTGGACTTCAATATCCAACATATTTTTCTTGAGTCACATCGGGGTCATTTAAAATAATTTATATTTATATCCCTTTCTCATTTTGAAAAGGATTTGAGCAACTAGCAAGTGATAGAGAAGTGACCTGTCTTATCCTGTCACTGTCTAACCAGCAGACACATAAATGATTAAATGGATTACAGTGTTTCAGGTCTTTGATTAGTGCCTTCTAGGAGGCTTCAAAGCAGCAGCCTCTTTACCCTGTCTTTGCTTTTTCTCCTGTGACAGGGAAGGCAGGATCTTTCTTCTATCTTCTTTAGGGGTGAGCTGAAGAATATTTTGCCTAGAAAGTAGTTATCAAGATCAGGGTCAAAAGGAAAGAGGAATTTTAGAATCTGGGAATTAGAAGAAATACTAGAAACAGCAGTTAAAATTTCTTTTTCAAATAATGAACTTGAGACCTGGAGAAGGGAAGTGACCTCCCTGGAGTCACGTGGTAGAGCTGAGATGAGGTTCCAGACTCTTTCTGCTGTATTCATGGATCAGACTAGGTGTTTTTCAGTTTTGTAAGAGAAGATTAGGTGTCATGGAAGAACTAGGGTAGCCTAGGCTCTTGTGCTGATTTTACTTCTGCATGACTGACTGTGTATGATAGTGGGCAGAGGGAGCCGCACACCAGACTTCCCAAGGAGTTGTGTCAGATGAGCTCAGTACCTTAGATGTCTAATAGACATTTGCTAAATGTGACTGTGGGAAGGCATATGATGTGAAGGGTTTCCCCATTTAGCCTGGGGCTGGCATTATATGTCCCAGAAATGACAAAGTGAACAAAAAGGAAAACTACATATTATTCTGGTATTGGAATGAATGGGCTGTTTTCCTGTTTCTAGAAAGGTTGTATTAATTTACATTTGTTTATTGACTGATTAAAAAGAATATTTCGCTTGAATGTGTATTTCCTTGATTATTAGTGAGGCTAAACTTTTTCCTATGTTCTCTGGCTATTTCTATTTTCTCTTGTATTTTTTTCTTGCATTACTTATTCATGTTCTTTGCCTAGATCCCAGTGTATTTCTAGTCCTATGCTTAACATCCCTGCAAGGGAACTATTAGAATGATAAGGTATTATAACTAAATGGGAGAGCTCAGGATATCCTTGGGGAAGGCAGTTAAAGGATAGATGAAACACTTTTCTTACTGTATCAATAGCCAGTCAAGTGGCTACATAAGGAGTCAGGTACTAGAAGCTAAGGACACCGAGAAAGGTGGGTAATAGAGGTTGGGTGGCAGCCCCCAGTAATGTTGTCTCTTGCTTTTCCTGTACAGAGTTTTGCCGGATTGACAAGCCTTTGTGCCACAGTGAGGATGAGAAGCTCAGCTTCGATGCAGTCCGCAGCATCCACAAGCTTATGGATGATGATGCCAATGGTGATGTGGATGTAGAAGAAAGTGATGAGGTGAGCCCTCTTACCCTGCTATGGCTCTTTGCTCTTCCTGTGTGAACAGTCCCTGAAAGCTATCTAGATAGACCATTCCCTATAAAAATGTTCTTGATACTGGCTTATTCTCTAGGAATTTGTCCCTGTTGAGGGAGATGATTCTCGGCGGAGCAGTCCTCTAGGGGCCAGCTGGTCCAAATGCAGGCCTTATTCTGTATCAGTGCCTGGACTGGCTCCTGTCTGCCTACAGGCTAGAAGCATAACACTGACTGAGCTGTGCTGTTTGAGAGGGAGAGGGAGCCCCAAGGTTAGTCTCTATAGTTTCCCTGAATCTTTATGATAATCCTGCTGTAGATGGAGGGCATCAATCTACATTTACTCTGTGCTCAGCCCTGCATTGGCATGTGGGAAAGAAGGCAAGACACTTAGGTTTTGCCTTCCGGGAGCTTATACTCTGTTTGGGAGGAAGAAACAAGTGCTCCTAGAAAGATCATTCCAAATTCCAGGCTGCAGTTGCTGGGAGCCAGTTGAGTGGTCCAGATAGTAAGAACAAGAGTAATCTCTAGATGGAAAAAACTGTTATTGTTACACTTTTTGGCAGAGAGCCCAGAGTACAAAGTTATCATGTGTGAAAGGATTTAAAGATTTCATTTGATTTCATTTGATTCCACATGAGCCAGCAGTATGGTGAACCTGCCAAATTGTGCCCAATCTGTAATAGCGATATGGTATATATCATGAGAGAGGAGGTAATCCTAGTCTCTCCTCCCTGCTGCTTAGCCCACCTTTAAGTTTTGAGTTCAGTTTTGGATCTCACATTGTCAGAAGCATTTGGAATGGTGAGAGACTATACAGAGAGGAGTGATGTGAATGATGAAGATTATAGAAACTATGGAATGGAGAGCATTCAGTACAATTCAGTATTATAAGTGTCTATTATATATGTGCCAGGCACTGTTCTAGACGTGGGGATGTGGCAGTAAATAGGACAGATACATCTGTCCTCATATAATTTATAGCCTAGTGAAGAAACTTTAGCCTGGAAAAGAAAAGATTCAGGTAATATGATTTCTATCTTCAAATACATTAGAAGTGGAGAAATCAGACTTAAATAACACCAGTGATAACAATGAAAACCACAGCACTATCATTTATTATATTTTTACTCTACACCATACACAATGTTAAGCTCTTTGCATAGTTACTCTTTTAACTTTCTTGACAGCCTTATGAAGTTGGTATCATTATCAGAGACTGGAGCCTGGAAAGGTTGTTGAAGGACACACTAGCTATGAGCACAGATCCGATTTCAAAACTCATGCTATTAAGTAGTGCTGTATTGTTTCTCATTCTAGGGCAGAGCCAGGACCTATGTGGGGAAAGTAAAATATAGGCATATTGTTCTAGAATAAAAATTGCCTATTAGCACTATCTCATCGTAGAAGAGACTTCCTTGGTAAGTAGGTAGTGAACTCCCTGTCTTGGCAGATGGACGAGCAAAATACAGCATTCCACTGATTGGTCAGCGGCGAGGATCCTTATATTAGGTTGAACTATATAACGTCTAAGGGATTTATAAAAGCCAAAAAACAGTCTTCCTGGAGGAAAAGTAGAATTTGGACAAAGTGGAAGAGGAGGGGCAGCCTGAGTAGTAGAGAACGAGTGAGCAAAAATGTGGAGATTGTAAGAAGCATGGTGAGTAGGTTTGGTTAGACAGTGACTGTGATAGAAAACTGCAGGACAAAACCTGGAAAGGAAAGTGGGGCCCAGCCAACCAGGCTGAGATAGGTGTACTTCTTGAACCTGGCAATTGTAAGTTCTTGAGCAGAGACAGCAACCATGATGAGAATGTCTAAACTTTCGATTACATCTAGAAGTGTCACTGGTCCTCGCAGGACCCAGTTTTGTCTATGCTAAGAGAGCCTTTCTCCTGGTGGCGAATGGGGCCTAGGGGTGTCCTGACCTCCCTCCAAGGGCCTGGCCACAAGACTGGGAGAGGGATGGCACACGGTTAATAAGGCGATGTGATCCAAGAACCACAAATTCCTGGATATCTTTGTCATCGCCCTTCCTTCTTTTTTCACTTTCTTCTGAATTGCTTTGTAAATGAGGGGAAGAAGAAAATGTTCTTTTTAGAGGAATGTTACCACAACAAAAAGCTCATCAGCACAAACTGTTCTAAAATAACACAAAAGCTGTCACCCTGCTCTGCGCCAGTGGCAAGTTGTTCTTTTTCAGCATAGCTTCTGCCTGCCTTGGCTTCAGCTACTCTTCCTATAATCTCAGGCCTCTGGTGGTTCGAGTAGCCTGCTAGTCTGGGTTTTCACGATAAGTCACAAGCTACTGTCTTTGAAAGTGAAAAAGTAATGTTAGCAAAATGTATGTACTTAAGTCAGTCTAACCATATATGAGACTACCTCAGAGTATAGGATCTAACTAGAAAGTTAAGTGGACAGCTCAGGGCTTATTGGGTGATGGATACTGAGGCACTAGAGAGGAGAAACCTGGCCATCAGGGACCTGAGATTTTTCGGACCCATTTAAAAGTATTGCTGATTACCCAAGGACCTTAGGAGAAGTCCAAAGGGATACACTACTCTATTAAGGCCTCATTTATTTAGTCTCATATCAGTAAGTATTTCAGACAACGGAACTATCACCTCAGTACTAGATCTTTAAAAATTTTAGCCATTTTTAAAGTAAGTCTTTTTCTTACAGATTATTGTGAGCAGAGTGTTAACTTTCTTGAGAAAATTCAAAGCATGGCTTCAGGGCTTCTTGCACTAGATTCCTACGTGCATGGTTGTAAGCAATGAATTTAGACTTATGGTAAACTGAGACTCAGCAGGTATTTTATAGAAAATATAATATTGTTTGAGTCTGGGGCAGCTTGTTTGGCTGCTCAAGTGCAGTCTTTGCTTGCTTCTGTCTTAGATAGTAGAGGCTGTAGACTGCGGGCCCTTCAGATGAGCAAGATGGCACTGTTGGTAATGGTACCTTTCTTGCCAAGCGGGCAGGGAGTTCTACCAGCCCGGCAGTGTGGGAATGCATGACCTATGTTCTATTCATAGCTCTAGTGGGGACACTGCCCATGTGCAAAGGATTTACTGCGGTGGGATGGTACTATCAGGTTGTCCTGACAGTCTGAGGTGTCCACAAAGGCCTGCCTAAAACCACTGTCCCCTTGACTGGACCAGACTCTTTGAGAGCAGTGTTACTTTCTTTTTTGGAACCTTCATGAAAAATTAAGGGAATTTATTCACCCTTGAACAGATTCTTATTCAATACCTTTTATGTGCCAGGGCTATGTGGTAGGGCTTTGGATTTCATAGTGAACAAAACTGATAAAATCCCTGCTTTTAAAGACCTTGCATTCTAGTGGTCTGTATGTCATGGGTAACTAAGTAATGAGTAAACTTTGAAATTAGGCAGAATTGTGATCAGATTATAGTAGGTTAGTGATTTCCCCTTTGATTATTTTAGGGTAAAATTGGTGGTCAATGATTCTTATGCTTACAGGGTTGTTTTAGGGATTGAATGAAAAAGTGCTGTTAAAAGTTGCTGGCACAAATAAAGGACTCTCGAAACTCAACAATAGAAAACAAGCAACTCAATAAATAATGGTGGAACAAAAAAGGAACAGACACTTCATCATAGAAGATATATGGATGGCAAATAAGTATATGAAAAGATACTCAATATCATTAGCCATTAGGAAAGTATAAGTTAAAACCACAATGAGATATCACTGTATACCTAATAGAGTGGCTAAAATTAAAAAAATGGAAAATATCAAGTGCTAGACAAGAAGGAAGAGCCACTGGAACTCTTGCTTATAGAGTTTCTTATAAAGTTTAATGTAACTTAATAAAGGGGCCAGCAATTCTATTTCTAGGTATTTACCCCTATAGATAAATGAAACTTTATATTCATGCTAAAACCTGTACACAAATGTTTATTGCAGCTTTGATCATAATCCCCCAAAACTGGATACAAATCAAATGCCCTTCAATATTTGAATAGATAAAAAGCTATGGAATGCTGTCCAGCAATTAAAAGAAACAAGCTATTGATGCGCAAAGTAGATGAATCTCAAAGGCATTGTGCTGAGTGAAAGAAGCCAGTAACTTTCTGAAAAAGTTACATACTATATGATTTCATCTATATGACATTCTGAGAAAGGCGAGGCTATAGGGATGGAGCCTAGATTGGTGGTTACCAAAGGTTAGGAATGTGGGGAGGATTTGACTACAAAAGGACGGCATGAAAGAATTTTCTTGGGCTAATAGAATTGTCCTGTGTTTGGACTGTGAGAGTGGTCACAGGAAGTTAAATATGTATTAAAATACATAGAACTCTATCTCCTCCACATCAAAAGTTAATTTCATCATATTAAAAAAAAAATTTCCCAGCATAGTACCTGACATACAACTCAAGCTCAGTGAATGCTACTTACTTTCTCTTTTCTTTTTCCTCTATATGTCCAGGAAAGTTACCTGCATGACAGTTGTATTTTAATGTTTGCTTGACCAACTGATGTGTTTCTCTTACCAAAATGAGAACCTCCTCAGGGCAGGGACTGATTTATCTGGTTTGTTTGTCTTTGTTTCTCCAGTGCCCAGCCAAGCTTGATAAGAATTTGTGCTTAATCACTGCATGGAATGATTGACCACGGTTATCACTATGGCAGCGTGATGTCAGGCTGAGAGGGAAGTCTTGTGCAAGGGTGTGATCACACATTTTGGAGGTGGGGATGGGTAGGTAGCACTAGAAACCTGGGAAGCTATAAAAGCTATTTATCCTTCTGTTAGTGTCTGTGGTGTCTGGTGTAGTAATATAGCACAGAGTTAAGAGTTTGTGCTCTAGAGTCACAGAGACCTAGATTTAAACCTGGCTCTGCCGTTTACCAGCTATGGAAACTTGGAGAAGTTACTTAAAGTCTTTAAGCCTTGTTTTCTTCATTAGAAGTAGAATAACAATGGTAGGGTACCTCATGAAGCCGTTATAAAGATTAAATGA